AACACTGACGGATTTTTTGACGCTATCCGAATTGGAAAAATCTCTTTAGGACTAGGGAACGCGTGCCTGTTAAATACCGAATTTGGTTGGATAGTGGGAGGAAACACAGCTGCGTCTCCACCAGCATTACCAATGTACGCTAGTACAGGAGTCTCCTACACTCGATAGGATAATGGAACGATTTTGGAAGAGCTTGACTACGAAGTTACGTGTCGTTTTTGACGGTTCAGTCAAATCATCCTCCTCATTAATGGTGGGCCCAACAATACAGCAGGATCTAGTTACAACACTGTTAAAGTTCCGGTTACATAAATTCGTTCTTACTGGTGACATTACGAAGATGTACCGACAATTCATGGTGAACCCTCGTGTCAGATATTTTCAGCTTATACTTTGGAAAAGTAACCAGATTTTGGAGTTCCACACACCAGCATCCAAGCTTACCACAGAGGAACAACTCTGCGAGGATCACTTCAGTAACAATGTATCTATTTACAACGATAGTCGTATACAAGTGCGCTTACCACTCAAAGAAGCACAAACGAATTTGGGAAATTCTTACGATACCGCCTACCAACGCTTTATGGCGCTCGAGCGACGATTTAACAGAAACGATGAGTTGAAGAGTGCATATGCAAGCTTCATAAATGAGTATTTAACTTAAGGGCATATGTCACTACTTCAGACTCGAGATTAAACTCAACCGCATTTCTTTATACCCCACCATTGTGTATTAAGGCCGCAAAGCTTGACTACGAAGTTACGTGTCGTTTTTGACGGTTCAGTCAAATCATCCTCCTCATTAATGGTGGGCCCAACAATACAGCAGGATCTAGTTACAACACTGTTAAAGTTCCGGTTACATAAATTCGTTCTTACTGGTGACATTACGAAGATGTACCGACAATTCATGGTGAACCCTCGTGTCAGATATTTTCAGCTTATACTTTGGAAAAGTAACCAGACAGACAAAATTCAATTTACATTTACAGATGACCAAATTTAACAGCAACACAAAGCATTTCATTAATCCATCCACGAATGAAGTTCCTATTAAGGTTGAGGAAATAGATACAGCAAAGACTCTTGGCTTATCTTGGATGCCCAAGCAAGACTGCTTTGTTTATCGGTACGATCTGCAACCTAAACAAGAAAATACCAAACGAATGGTATTATCGACAATTGCAAATATGTTTGACGCTCTTGGCTTGATGAGTCCAGTCATAATAAGATGCAAAATACTCTCGCAGGATCTAAAAATTTGAAGTTGGGTTGGGAAGAACTTCTCCCTGAAACGTGAAATCAATTAAAGGCATATTCATAATCAAAGAATTCCGCGTGTAACTTATTTAATAGAAAAAAGTTTTGTTTGTTTATCGTAAAAACCTAGCGATTTTTCACATATGTTATTTACCCGTTGTTCGGAAGTCGCACTAGGCCGAAAATCCGTTGGTACGAAACACGGCCAATTTTTGTTCTGCCAAGTTAAAATCAGCCAGAAAATAAAAAGATGAAATAATAAAATGCTCAAGCTGATTTAGACGGCTTATATGTAACCAAAAATTTAATCAGACAGCCGCTTCACCTTTCTTTTGACAATGCCCCCTTTGACAGGTCAAGGTTGAAAGAAAGGACCACTGACAACCGACAAATATTGCCACTTCGGAAGAGGAAAATCCCTAATAAGTGGCCAAGAGCAGAACTGCTGGAGAAATTTAATTCCCCTCTTATTAATCGCATAAATACCAAAGGAAAAATCTGTTTTTTTGCCTAACTTATGTCTAAAAAAAATAACAATTAATCCTAGACAATCCTAGCCACTACAAAAATCAAAACAAAATACAACTAAAACAAACAGTGTGTAAATTCAAACACGACGAGCACTGCTTGTATAAGGTAGGTAGGTAGGTGCGGCAGGAACTTATGAAGACCCTGACTCACTTAGGCCGTGATTATTTGGCCCGTTGTGGTACCGCGTGGACAAAGTCCGCTTCCCATATCCCGTGGTTGGCTGCATTACTGCGCAAATTGTTACACCCATCCGGATGCCCGGATGAATTTGTAATTGTCTATCGGCTTTCTTTTTGCTAGCGCCGACTGATTTGGGAGGAGGCCATCTCCTAGAAAGCGTTGTCTGGTCCTACACAAAGCTGGGCAGTCGCAGAAGAGGTGGGAAACTGTTTCCGCTTCTTCTTAGTCTCTGTAACTTCTACAGAAGTTGTTGTGTTGAAGTCCTAGTCTGGCGGCATGGGAGCCCACCAGCCTGTGCCCCGTGATGGCTCTGATGACAGCTGAGCATTGGCTTCTGCTCAACCTACAGAGTTCTAAAGTCCGTTTCCTATTGCGGATGGGCCACGTTTGAAGTGAGATTTTGTAGTTGTTTGTGTCATTGGTCCACATTTGATTTGCAATGAAATCGAAGTGGTTCCGAATGGACAGTTAACAGCTGGCCATCGGTATATCGATGCCTTGGGAGGATGGGAACGGTGGTACCTTCTCTTGCCAGTTCGTCGGCTATGCAGTTTCCCTCTATGTCCCGATGGCCTGGGACCCAAATGAGGTAGACTGAGGACTGTGCTGCCATCTCGTGAAGAGATTTGCGACAGGTCTGCACTGACGTCGAGTTCGATGTGATGTTGTCTAAGGATTTTATGCCGCTTGGCTATCCGAATATATGCAGATTTCTCTGATTTCTGTGACTGCGCTTGGCAGTATGAAGAGAGCTTCTTGAATAGCTGTGATTTCGGCCTGGAATACACTGCAGTGATCCGGAAGCCTGAAGGCTTTTCTTATGCCGAGTTCTTCGCAGAAGACACCTCCGCCTACGCGGTTGTCCCGCTTAAAGCCGTCTGTATATATTTTTATTGAATTTTCGGGGCCTGGAGAGCCAACATTCCATTCATTCCCGATCATACCAAAAACGAAATCAATTTAAAATCTCGTTTACAAATTATTGAGTCGTACATGGGACTGATCGCATCTGATAGAGATAACCTTTTGCTTCGACTCAAGAATATAGAAAATCAAATTTTATTTTATGAGTCATCATCTCCGGAGTATAAACATTTTTGTGTTAGTATATGTAGTTTTGAGATTGTTTATTTGTTTTTACATATGTTTTTATTATAGAACAATTTTCTTGACCACAAATCACGTTTGATTGCAAACTCTACAAAGAAAACCTGTCAGGCAACTGAATTAGGCGAATTCATACAGGCCATAAAGCTAAGTCTTTCTACTTGTTCTTCTGCAGCCACCAAAAGCCAATCTTCTGAATAAAGTTTGAAATTCAAACAAGTAAAAAAGCTAAAGTCGGGTGTCCCGACTTTGAAATACTCTGTACATATGTTTACAATAATTATAGAAAATAAAAAAAATTAAGAAAAAACAAAAAAAATTGGATCGATTTTACCTCTCTCGGTATTCGAACTCACGTAAAGGGTGTATAATTGCACATTTACATAGCAATTGCGTCTGTGTGAGTGTATGTATGCCTATTCGCATCTATTCGTGTCTGTGTAAACATGTGTGCAGTGGTTATAACTTCTTGTTAAATCGGTCTATCATAGTGAAACTTGGCATACGGACACATAATAACTAACTAGGGGTATTTCCAAAATCTTAGTTCGAAATTCCAAAAATTACGGGAGTTAGAGAAAATCGCATTTGCGTGGGAGAAGGGGGAGGGAGGGAAATTCCAAAATATACATTTTCTGCGTATTCACATAAGGCATCTGGGACTAAAATTTGGTGTTCCTAGGTTTTATAGTCTCCGAGATATAGGCGATTATACGAATGGAAAATCTGGAAAACCCCCATAGGGGGGAAGTGGGGGGGAAAATCAAAAAATAAAACAAACTCGTATAGAATACACACATAAGGCATCTTTGTGGAAAATTTGGTGTCTCTATCTCTTATAGTCTCTGAGATCCAGGTGTTCATACGGACGGACAGACAGACAGGGCTAGATCGACTCGTCTAGTCATGCTGATCAAGAATATATATACTTTTTGGGGTTTGCCACGCCTCCTTCTGCCTGTTACATTTTTCAGCTCCCGCAAACCTAATATACTTCTTGTTACGACTACGCTTTTCCTCTTGGGCAACGCCGGCTGGCTCATCGGAATTCTCCTTGGGTGTGTGGTTCCAACCCTATGCCCGCGTGAGTCGTACAATAACCGATAACACGGTTCCTCCATCGATAAACAAAATGCCATCACTACAATAAATTCGACGCGCAATATACAAAACCGAATTCAAAACGTAAACAAACCAAAAAAACTAACATAAACTAAAAGAAACGTAATGCAACAAAAAACAACTGTTGCTCCTGCTACGATGCAGCTCGTGCTGCTACTTATGACGGCCGCTGCAGCTGCTGTGTACGGTTCCACCGCTGTCCAAAAACTTGGCGATATGCCGGAAAAATCTATATGCCAAGGAACAAAAGGCATTTAAGCACTGGTCGGCACATTCAAGTGGATATATAGGTATGCATACATCGGCATTAGTTCTGCCTTGCATCTATATCTTTATTGCTCACCTTCGAACGGCTTCTGGTTCTTCCTTTCCTTTTCAAAACGTTTTTTCCTCCCTTCTATTTGCAGGTTTCAGCACCGCCTCCAGTTCACAAAAAAAAAAACACAGCCTCGTGGGTCTGCACGGTCGCCCCAAAAATAGGAATGGCGTGTTGCGGCTTGCCTTTTATAGGCCGGATGTCGTATGTCTGCGGATTTTTATGTCCTTGCGCATCCGTTCATCACGGCCTTGACGTTTCCCCACTTTGAGGTGCCATCGGGACACAACCCTGCGCCTGCGCGGCTGCAGTTGCCACCATGGTGCCTCGCTCGGTACCGAAAGATGGCGCTGCAGTGCCTTTATAAATTTTCGGCGTCTTCCGTAGCGCTGCCACCTTTTATTCTTCGTGACCAGCCCGATGCAACACCACCGCAAATATCCAAGTGGGCGGACGCTCATGCCCCGAAGTGATGTTTGCGCGCATCAAACGGCTGGTGTTGTTGGTGTCCTCTGCTTCGAGTCCGGCGTTGCCTCGGATGACTACTACCGCGGCGCCCAACGTAGGCCACACCCACTCTTGATCTTCAGGTGAGTGGCTCTCTATATTCATCCATTCTGCTTTATGACAGGCGTCACACTCGGATATCCTTTGCGTGGAATACCCCCAGCAAGTTTCATTGCAAATCTTCCAGCTCGTATGCGTTGGTGCCGATGGATTTCCTTACGCGAGCTTTTAGAAATTTCCGCGCGAATTTCGCATTGAACGCGCGGCTGAAATCACTCAATGCAAAGTTTCGCCGGTATACCTCCTGACCGGGCGCTAGTCTTAGCCGCCGCGCACGCCGGTTATAGCGAACGCTACTGCGCTCATACGCCGCGTGTAATTGTGTCTGGACTTTCTGTTGCACCAGGGATTGCCTGTCTGCTGTACTCAACGCTGCGAATTCGTGCTCGTCTAACGACCTTAATTTCCTCGCAACATCATATGTCGGCCGAATAGTGCGAAAAAAGGCGTTACTCCAGTCGCAGAATGCACGCTATTTCTGATGGCCACTTCAATTTCCGGAAGGTGTAGGTCCCACTCGCGCTGATCCTGCTCCAGATACGCCCGTATCGCGGACAGTATCGTCCGGTTCACCCTTTCGGACGCGTTGCTTTGCGGCGAATACACCGGTGTCCGCAGATGCTTAACACCGTAGCCCTCCATCATGTCTGCAAACTGCTTGGACGTGAATTGCTTACCATTATCGGAGTGTATGACTTCTGGAACGCCGAACGTAGGGAACACTTCGTTCACCAAGAAGTCGACGACGCTCCGAGTGGTGGCCTCCCGCATCGCCTTCAGGATCGTGAATTTGGTGAAGTGATCTACCACTATGAATATGAAGGCGTGCCCCTTCCTTGATCGCGGATACTTGCCCAAGAAGTCTATGTACAACTTCTGGAACGGCCTCTCCGTGACGACTTCTGCACCAATTCCCACCTGCATCCCGTAATTGGTGGCTTTCGTCTCTTTGTAGACCACGCATTTTCGGACCACTTCAGCAACGTCTTTGGCCATTCCCGGCCAATAAAACTGCCGCCGCAACCAGGACAACGTCTTCAACACTCCTCCATGCGTTGACGCTTCGGTATGGGCTTCGATATAAGCATGCCGGTTAGCGCACGCGGAACCCACAGTTTCCACACACTGCCTTCGAGCTGATCTTCTAGCCGATTGAAGGATGTCTTTTTGTAGATCACCCCGTTTTCAATTTTTAAATCAGGTAATTTATCTTTTTGACTTTGAATTTCGCTAATCAGCTCTCGATACTCCTCTGATTCGAATTCTGCGGTTTCTATACCCAACAGGTCTCCTGGAAAGAAATCCAACTCCTCTAAAGTTTCGGCTTCGGTGCTCCTGGACAGCATATCCGCCACGATGTTGTCAGAGCCCTTCCGGTGCGTGATTTCAAAGTCGAAGCCTTGGAGCAGCAACGACCAACGTGCCAATCGCCCGGACAAATCCTTCATGGACATCAGCCATTTCAAACTGGCGTGATCGGCTATGACCGTGAATGGCATCATTTCGATGTATGGCCGGAATTTTTGTATCGCCAATACCGCCGCCAAGCACTCCTTCTCGGTCACCGAGTAGTTTACCTGGTGCTTATTCATCTTAGCCGAGCAGAACGCAATGAGCCTCTCGTTTCCCTTTAAGTCCATTTGGAACAATACCGCTCCGACGCCAATATGGAATGCGTCACACTGCACGAAGAATGGGCGTGAAAAATTAGCGTGTACCAGCACTGGCGCAGATGTGAGCGCCTTCTTCAACGCATCGAATGCTGCAACGGCTTCGTCACCGAGTGAGAAAAGGCCTCCAGAACGCTTTTTTAGTGCCTCAGTAAGCGGAGCTGCTAAGGTGGCAAAATCTCTAATAAATCGCCTGTACCACCCGGCGGTTCCTAAGAAAGCTCGAACCTCCTTTACGGACCTTGGCACCTGTATGCGCTGTATCGCCTGCACCCGTTCCGGATCTGTTCGAAGCACGCCGCCGCCCACGATAAATATTTCAACGTTTTAAAGCAAAACTTCGACTTTTGTAACCCTATCGTCAGATTTGCCTTCTTGAGGCATTCAGCGACTCTCTTCAGGTACTCCAAGTGCGTATCAAAATCAGCCGCGAAGACTACCAAATCGTCCAGATATACTTTAACGTTGGACCTCAGTTCATTCGGTATGACCTTGTCCATCAGCCGGCACAACCTTTGAGCGGCGTTACACAACCCGAAAGGCATCATGCGGAATTGGTACAACGGTCGCCCTGGTACCGTAAACGCAGTGCACCTTCTACTGGACTCCTCCAACTCCACCTGCCAAAACGCAAATTTCAGGTCCACACTGGAAATATAATATGTCTGATCGATTCCAGATAGGATTCCCTCCACGTATGGTAGCGGATAGGCATCTTTTACTGTCAGTTTGTTCAACTTGCGGGCATCGAGGCAAAAGCGGTTCTTGCCCGGCCGTCGCACTATGGTGGTGCGGTTACTCCACGGACTATCGCCTACCTCGATGACGCCAAGCGCCAGCATGCTGTCCACCTCATCCCACACAATCTTCTGCATAGCGGGTGATAGAGGGTAGTGCCTGTCTTTCACTGGCTCTGCTCCGCTGACCAATTCAATACGGTGAGTCTCCAAAGTAGTCTTGCCTAATCCCGCTTCTTCGAAAGTTAAAAATTATTTTTTTACTTGTTCCAATTTCAGCTTTTGTTGTTCATTCAATTCCCACATATCTGGTTCCGGCCTTACTTCATCCTGGTCCGCATAATGCGCCACTCTATCAGCTAGCAATTCATCGAAGACAAGTCTTTTAACGGCTGGCTTTTCCGGAGGAATTAATAGTGGTGCCAAATTAAACAGCCGCCAAAAGTCGATGCCGAAATACGCGTTCTGTTCAAGTGATGGGCATACGTAAAATTCCACTTCTTTGGTCTCCTCTCGATACACCACTGGTAAACGCACTCGCCCAATTACGGCTCTGTCTTCACCGCCTGCTGTTTTAATTATTGAAATGTATTTTCTGGGCTCCACGCCAATCTGTTTCAGCAGTTCGAGACCGCGTTTGCCTAGCACGCTTACCGAGGCCCCGGTATCCAGCAAACCGCGTAGCACTTGGCCTCGCACCCGTACTTCGGCAAAAATCCTCGGATCTGCTGCTCCTTCGCGTCGCACTGCCTCGGCTACCAGCTTCTTCGTCTGCCTTCTCACTCGGAATCGTGCTCGGGCCTTTTTAACTTTGGCTGTCACCATCCTCATTCCATCTAACTGATGTTGAGCAAAAATTCTATTGCGCGCCTCCAGATATGCCCGCATCTTTTCCTCATACGGTAAAAATTTCAACTTATTACTATATTGGGTATTTTTCTTATCAAATTCTTCTTTCAGGACCGCTCCGCTGTCATCCTGGTGGGCACCTGTGTCGAGCGCGATTCGCCCACTTGCTCCGCACTCCGACGGCCGTTTCCCGTGCACGCGGGGCATGTTGGACTATAGGTGTCGGGCCTGCCACACCTATAACAGAAGACGCGCCTTTCCGGTGACATGCAGTCGCGGAAACCAATGCCGGCTTGTCTGCAGTTCCAGCAAACTAACGCCTGTTGCGGACGCCTTGCCAAACGCGCCTCTTCAACTATGCCGAAATCCGCCGACTCCTCGCCGTTAGTGTCGTCGACCAACTCCTCCACTGCCGGTGGACGGTTTCCACCACTAAAACGTGTGCCGCTGCGTGTTGGGAACAAGCCTTCTCGCCGCTGGACCATAGCTTCCACCTCTACGCATTCGTCACGTAAGTGGTCTACCGTGTACACGCGCTTCGCATACACATAACGAGCTAGTTCTATTTTTAATCCTTTTTTTATATATTTCATCATCTCGTTTTCAGATGGTGCTGTTTGGAGACGCGACGCCAGTTTCCTCATGGCATGGATGTACTCCTCCACGCTTTCGTGTGCCTTCTGCCGTCTTTCGCGCAATTGACGCATGCGCTCGAATTCATCGGCGGCGCCTTTAAAACGGGACAGCATGCTTCGCTTAAGTTCTGGCCAGCTGTCTGCCCGGTGGTCCCTGACATACTGCCAGTACCACTCGCGAGCGTGCCCAGTTACTAACAGATGGAAACTGTTTAATACTTCAAACCATGCGCAGCGACACTGCCTCTGAAGGAACTCTACCTGGAAAACGAAGTCTTCTACCGCCATTTTCTCCTTGTCGCCGCTGAAAACGATGTCCCACTTCTCAACGCGGCACCATCCTGATCTGCCATTCGCCGCAGCATACGGAGGAGGTGGGTCCAGCTGACCACTCCAATCGTTACGCCTATTGCCTCTTCGACGGGCCGACTGTGCCGCGGGATTTTGCCAATTTCGAGCTGTGTTGCTGCTATTGCCAGCTCCACTGGAGGAATTAGCTGCCGCTGGCCTTGCTACCGGACGCGAAGTTCCTCTTGCTGGTGTTAGAGGTTCAGCCTGGTATTGATGCTGCCGTTTTGGCACCGCACCACGATTCTGGCTGACTGGCGGTTGCCATGCTCCATTTGCAGCTGAATCGCCGCTATTCGCTTGCGGTTGCAAGATTTCTTTGAGCGCGCCCATTAAGACATGATGTTGTTGATGCCCTCTTTTTGCGATTGGCGGTATGTTTCGTTCGCCTGGGCCACTGCTGCTTCTACCGCCGACGCGACTACTGGCTCGGCGTCCCAGTGTACTGCTGGTGCTATGGACGGCCTCGGAGGAGTGTGCATGAGGCCACCGGTTGAAAAACCCACGGCTCCTTCTAGGTGTTCCTCCAGATCATCATTTCTGGCAGTTCTCGACCTTGTGTTATACGCGCGCGCAGAATCCTTTTCCATTTCAATCAAAAAAAAAAACGCTTTGTTTTTTTATGATATTTATATATATTTTGGATTATAAATTTGTTCAGCTTTCAAGCAGGCCCCGAAGAAAAATTCGTTATTCAATTGAATTGATGTATATATATCTGTATTCCACACAATGAAAATGTTTGCAACCGCCCAAAACAACAAAAACAAATGGGCAAGAAAATATATGTACGCTGATTATGTATGATGGATAAATAAATAAATAAATAGGTACAACAATAAATAGATAAATATGTGAATTGGAATAAATAAATATGAATATAGTAGTAAAATAAAAAAACGAATCTTTAAATAAATTCAAGTCCAACTTTGCACGGAAACCAAAAAAAAACATATATACGCTCAACCACAAGACAAATGTAACATATGTACATATATGCACCAAACGTAACCAAAAAGACTTAATAAAATGTGTGGCAGCCTGTCACTGCGAGCGTTGCAGAGAGCGGAGAGCATACTGGCTCTCATTGAGTCAGTCGTTTATATACACTTGTCAAGTGCGGATCGCACCGAAGAAATAATAAACATTGTTTGGTATATCTTAGTAATTGCGTGCAGTTGGTTTGTAATTATTGGGCAATTTGCAGGTCATTACATTGGCGACGAGAGAAAAACCGAAAAAAAAATAGAAAAGACCGATAAAGAATAAAATTCGTTTCGGCTGTATGTGTGTTAGTTTGGTACATACATACATATAAAAAAAACCAAAAAAAGGTGTGGCCACTTAAATGTAGCCTAAGAAATACTAAAAAAAAGTGTGGCCACTTGAATGTAGCCTAAAAAAAAAAGAAAACAAAGTAATGGCCGAACTTAAGCCATTCCTATGCAATAGCATAGACAAATCACTCTGGCGCTCCGAATGGGAGGTCTGGTTGCGCGCATTGAACATATATGCGGACAGCGAAGAGATCAGCTCAACTCTTAAAAAGCGCAATAAACTTCTGCATTTGGGAGGCTCACAACTGCAGTCTATTGTTTATAACTTGCCAGGACCGATGGTCCCTTATATTCCAGAGGAGCAGAACGATGTCTTCACACCTTTGGTGGAAACATTAAATGAATATTTTTCGCCGATACGCAATTCGGTATTTGAGCGACATTTGTACCGTGGCATGACACCGCGGGATGGAGAATGTTTCACCGAGTTTCTTATGCGATTGCGTCAGCAGGTGAGGAAGTGTAATTTTGGCACTTCCAAAACAGAAATAGAAGAGCTGAAGAAAAAGTTGCTGTCAACTGAACAGTCCTTGGAGGGAGTCATATCTGCTTGTCTAATTGAGGAACAGGTGAGCAAGCAGACGCAAGCAATGTCATCAAATGGATGCTCAGGCTCTATGGTCAATAAGATTGCATCGCGCACGGCTAAATGGAACCACACCAAAGTAGAGTGCGGCAGATGTGGCCGAAATGATCATGATTCAAATAGTTTGCTTTGTCCAGCGAAAAATGCGGAGTGTAGCAGATGTTCCAAAGTCGGGCACTTTGCTAAGAGATGTCGGACTATTGTGAAGAGACCCGGCGGAAATCATCGAGGAGGTATAAAGCGGCGCTATGTAGATGAAGCACCGGTCCGAGGAGTGAGTGGTGGCCAACAATTTCACAATCCCTGTTTCCGAGTTGCGAATGATTGTGACATGGGCGAAGTCATTTCTTGCCGAGTTGGTGGTTTACCAATTAGCATGGTCATCGATTCCGGATTCGTTCGGGCATATGCTGCGGATTAGTTGTTACAGATTTCATGTGTGTTTGAAGCACCGATTGCAGTTGGAGGGAATGCTGAGTCTATTGCAACCTTTTATGTCATAAAAAAGGGTAGGCAATCGTTGCTTGGTCGCGAAACAGCCATAAAACTCAACGTGTTGAGATTGGGCATAGCTATAAATTGGGTCGAAAAGTTGGAACCTTTTCCAAAGTGGAATAATGTATCTATTCGTCTGTCAATTGATCCACATGTGAGGCCCGTCAAGCAACCAATGCGACGCATCCCAGCCGCCATTGAGGACAAGGTAAAAGAAGAGCTAGAATCGGCTTTATCTCAAGATATAATAGAGCCAGTACACGGACCAAGTGAATGGATTTCTCCAATAGTTATCGCATTCAAAGGTGATGGGAATATAAGGCTGTGCATTGATATGCGGCAAGCGAATAAAGCAATTCAACGGGAAAATTACCCATTACCAACATTCGAGTCGTTTTTAACGAAGCTTAAGGACGCTAAGTATTTTTCTCGACTGGACTTGAAGAGTGCGTATCAACAATTGGAATTGCATCCAAATAGCCGAGAAATTACTACATTTATAACACCACAAGGACTGTATAGATACAAGCGTCTACTCTGCGGTGTTAACTCAGCACCTGAGATATTTCAGAAACTGATGGAGGAACGATTAGCGAAATGCCCGAATGCATTAAATTATATAGATGATGTAATTGTCTTCGGAAGTTCATTGGAGGAACACGACAAAATGCTCGAGATGGTAAAAGTTATTTTTAAGGAAAACAATATATTTCTCAACAAAGATAAATGCGTATGGAAAACACAGCGACTTAAGTTCCTCGGGCATATATTATCTGACACAGGCATTTCTGCTGATCCAGAGAAAGTAGAAGTAATTACGGCATTCAGGCCACCAAAGAACAAAGAGGAACTTCGTAGTTTCTTAGGCCTGGTCACGTACGTGGGAAGGTTCTTGCCAGATTTGGCAGACACAACAGAACCGTTGAGAAAGTTACTCAAAGCGGATGAGAAGTTTCTGTGGAACCACCAAGAACAGCAAGCATTCGACAAATTGAAAATTGGAGTTTCACGAGTTTCGGAGTTGGCATATTTTAACGTGAAATTAAAAACTCGTGTAATAGCTGATGCCAGTCCTGTAGCGCTGGGAGCGGTCTTAATACAGTTTGATGTCGAAAATAATCCATTTATCATATCGTTTGCAAGTAAGAGCCTTTCTGATGTTGAGAAACGATATTCGCAAACGGAAAAGGAAAGTTTGGCATTGGTATGGAGCGTGGAAAAATTTCATTACTATGTTGCTGGTCTGGAATTCGAGTTGGTAACTGACCATAAGCCATTGGAAGCGATTTTTAAACCAACTTCTAAGCCTCCAGCTAGAACTGAGAGGTGGTTATTACGCCTACAGGCATACCGTTTCCAGGTGATATATAAGTCTGGGAAGGAAAATATTGCTGACTCGATCTCACGCTTATGTAACGTTTCAAGTACTAAATCATTTGATTGGGGTGGAGAGGAAAACATATTCCATATGATTTCAATTTCTACTCCCACATCTTTAAATATATCCGAGATTTCCGAAATGAGTACAAGAGACGAGGAAGTACTAGATGCCATAACATGCCTGGACAATGACTGCTGGAATTCTGCAGCAACTAGCCCATATTATCCGTTTCGCCTGGAGCTGTCGAGTATTGGTAGCATTCTATTAAGAGGAAGTCGTCTGGTCATCCCCCAACAACTACGACAGAGAGTTTTAACATTAGCTCATGAGGGACACCCTGGAGAAGCAGCAATGAAAAGGCGACTGAGATCAAAAGTATGGTGGCCAAAAATTGACAGGGATGCAGAAAAATTTGTCAAGGATTGTCGTGACTGTATATTGGTATCTTTACCAGATAATCCAGTCCCAATGAGACGTCATGCATTTCCGAGTAGCCCATGGGTATGGGTAGCCACTGATTTGTTAGGACCGTTGCCAAATAATGAGCACTTGCTAGTTCTCATCGATTACTATTCTAGATACATAGAAGTAAAATTTGTACAATCAATAGGATCGAAGGTGCTTATTGAAGAGATGTCCGAAATTTTTAGTAGATTGGGGTATCCAAAAAAGTTAAGAACAGACAATGGCAGACAATATGTGAGTGCAGAGTTTAAAAAATATTGTGAGACGAATGGAATTGACCTCATTACAACCCCTCCATATTGGCCTCAGGCTAATGGCGAGGTAGAAAATATGAATAGATCATTAGTAAAGCGGTTGAAAATAGCACATGTGAATGATAAAAATTATAGACATGAGATTCAAAAATTCATATTAATGTACAATGTTACTCCCCATGGTACTACGGGCTCGCCACCATCCGAGCTTATATTCAATCGCACAATTAGAGACAAGATTCCGGGAGTTCAGGATATAGTAGGGGAAGTGGGAGAATCGGAAGAGAGAGACAGGGATTTCATTAATAAGGAAAAAGGAAAAGAGGTGGCAGACAAAACTAGAAGAGCCACGGAATCTAAAATACAACTGGGAGATAAAGTAGTGCTAAAGAACGTGATTTTTCCTAACAAGTTAACTTCTAATTTTGATACAACAGTCTATGAGGTAATTCAGATAGATGGGAGCGTAGTAAAGATATCGGGAGGAGGTAAAACGTATTTGAGAAATATAAGTCATGTTAAAAAGATTTCAGGGGGTTCTAGTTTGCGCATCGAAGCTTCACAACAGTTGGATGGCAGCGAGCAAGAAAATGGTGCCTCACTTGGAACACAGCCACCACCGCTACCACAAGCCGAATCAATTCCCGATATCTCCGTGGAGCAGCCTGCAGATGCGCAGCAGAACTTGAAGCTGAAGCTGAAAAATATTGGAGGGATGTGGCAGCCTGTCACTGCGAGCGTTGCAGAGAGCGGAGAGCATACTGGCTCTCATTGAGTCAGTCGTTTATATACACTTGTCAAGTGCGGATCGCACCGAAGAAATAATAAACATTGTTTGGTATATCTTAGTAATTGCGTGCAGTTGGTTTGTAATTATTGGGCAATTTGCAGTTCATTACATTGGCGACGAGAGAAAAACCGAAAAAAAAAATAGAAAAGACCGATAAAGAATAAAATTCGTTTCGGCTGTATGTGTGTTATTTTGGTACATACATACATATAAAAAAAAAGAAACGGAAAAAGGTGTGGCCACTTAAATGTAGCCTAAGAAATACTAAAAAAAAGTGTGGCCACTTGAATGTAGCCTAATTGTGGCAGTTTAAATACAGCCTACGAAAAGACCGATAAAGAATAAAATTCGTTTCGGCTGTATGTGTGTTATTTTGGTACATACATACATATAAAACAAGTAAAAAAGCTAAGGT